TTATTTGTAGCCTCTGCTTAATAATTCTGTTATCTAAAGTCTTTGCGGGTTTAATCTTTTTCTTTTTTTTTTTAATTATACTTTAAAGTTCTAGGGTGCATGTGCACAACGTGCAGGTTTGTTACATATGTATACATGTGCCATGTTGGTGTGCTGCACCCATTAACTTGTCATTTACATTAGGTATATCTCCTAATGCTACCCCTCCCCGCTCCCCACAATAGGACCCGGTGTGTGATGTTCCCCTTCCTATGTCCAAGTGATCTCATGGTTCAATTCCCACCTATGAGTGAGAACATGTGGTGTTTGGTTTTCTGTTCTTGCCATAGTTTGCTGAGAATGATGGTTTCCAGCTGCATCCATGTCCCTACAAAGGACACAAACTCATCCTTTTTTTATGGCTGCATAGTATTCCATGGTATATATGTGCCACATTTTCTTAATCCAGTCTGTCACTGATGGACATTTGGGTTGATTCTAAGTCTTTGCTATTGTAAATAGTGCCGCAATAAACATATGTGTGCATGTGTCTTTATAGCAGCATGCCTTATAATCCTTTGGGTATATCCCCAGTAATGGGATGGCTGGGTCAAATGGTATTTCTAGTTCTAGATCCTTGAGGAATCGCCACACTGTTTTCCACAATGGTTGAACTAGTTTACAGTCCCACCAACAATGTAAAAGTGTTCCGATTTCTCCACATCCTCTCCAGCACCTGTTGTTTCCTGATTTTTTAATGATTGCCATTCTAACTGGTATGAGATGGTATCTCATTGTGGTTTTGATTTGCATTTCTCTGATGGCGAGTGATGATGAGCATTTTTTCATGTGTCTGTTGGCTGTATGAATGTCTTCTTTTGAGAAGTGTCTGTTCATATCCTTTGCCCACTTTTTGATGGGGTTGTTTTTTTCTTGTAAATTTGTTTGAGTTCTTTATAGGTTCTGGATATTAGCCCTTTGTCCGATGAGTAGATTGCAAAAATTTTCTCCCATTTTGTAGGTTGCCTGTTCACTCTGATGGTAGTTTCTTTTGCTGTGCCAGAAGCTCTTTAGTTTAATTAGATCCCATTTATCAATTTTGGCTTTTGTTGCCGTTGCTTTTGGTGTTTTAGACATGAAGTCCTTGCCCATGCCTATGTCCTGAATGGTATTGCCTAGTTTTCTTCTAGGGTTTTTATGGTTTTAGGTCTAACATTTAAGTCTCTAATCCATCTTGAATTAATTTTCGTATAAGAAGTAAGGAAAGGATCCAGTTTCAGCTTTCTACTTATGGCCAGCCAATTTTCCCAGCACCATTTATTAAATGGGGGTTTAATCTTATTGCCTCCAGACTCTTATGATAAATTGTCTCCTTGCATGTTCTGTTATTTTGAATTGTCATCCCAACTTCATTGGGGTTTCACATGTGGATATCCTGTTCAGTCTGAGTTAACATGCAACAACCCAGAAATTCTGTTTCCTTCTGGCAATTGCCCTAGAAATACTTTTCATATTAAGTTCACAGGATTCTCAGACCACACAAGTAGTATAAATTTGAATCCCAAACTGGTGAGAAGGTGGGTCCACGGTGACAAATTCCCAGGAATGGCTTTTATTCTCTGTACCGTGAGTCCAAGCTAACACAAGTACTAGAGGGTGGATTTGTGTTTTAATCCTTTCATGGAGGGTGAATGTCTTTAAAGGTCCTGGCTTTGTATGGGGATCTCAATCCAACTTCTCACCTTGTAGGGGACCTAAGACTTTACCTCTAGTGTCCTTGCGTGACCTTTAAAACCCAAGCATACTGGTTACAGAGACCAGGGACTGTCTTTACGCTCAGGCAGTCACAAAGCATAAACCACACACCATACTGTTGTTAAATTTCCTCTTTAGGGCTCCGCCCAGGCTGGAGTGCAATGGCACCATCTCAGCTCACTGCAACCTCCATCTCCCAGGTTCAAGCGATTCTCCTGCCTCAGCCTCCCAAACAGCTGGGATTAGTCACGCGCCACCATGCCCAGCTAATTTTTATATTTTTAGAAGAGATGGATTTTCACCATGTAGGCCAGGCTAGTCTCAAACTCCTGACCTCAAGTGATCCGCCTGCCTCAGCCTCCCAAAGTGCTGGGATTACAGGCGTGAGCCACCACGGCCGGTAGAACCTTGATCTTTTAAATGTGAATTTTGGATATTTCTATTACCTGTAAGGAGAGAGGTGGAGAAGATGAAGGTAGAAGGGAATACTGAATAAGTAACTCCTGTGTACTAGCTCTCAATACATGGGATGTTTGATAACAGATCTACAAAACAAGTCATGTTAATAGATGAGAAATTAAAGCTCAGAAAGGTTAAATAATTTCACTAAGGTCACCATGTACTATTACACCCGAATTCACAGTTGAAATTAACTAGATAAATCCATTTTCATTCTGGACATGGTGGTGTATACCTGTAGTCCCAACTATTTGGGGGGCTGAGGCAAGAGGATTGCTTGTGCCTAGGAATTCATGTACAGCCTGGGCAACATAGAAACTGTTTCTAAAAATAAATAGGCTGGGTGCAGTGGCTCACGCCTGTAATCCCAGCACTTTGGGAAGTGGAGGCAAGTGGATCACTTGAGGTCAGGAGTTCAAGACCAGCCTTGCAAACATGGCAAAACCCCGTCTCTACTAAAAAAACGAAAAATTAGCTGGGTGTGGTGGTGCATGCCTCCAGTCCCAGTTACTTGGGAGGCTGGGGCAGGAGAATAGCTTGAACCCAGGAAGCAGAGGTTGTGGTGAGCTGAGATCATGTCACTGCACTCCAGCCTGGGCAACAGAGTGAGACTCCATCTTAAAAATAAATAACTTTGGGAGGCTGAGGTGGGAGGATCACGAGGTCAGGAGATCGAGACCATCCTGGATAACACGGTGAAACCCCATCTCTATTAAAAATACAAAAAATTAGCCGGGCATGGTGGCACGCACGTGTAGTCCCAGATACTCGGAAGGCTGAGGCAGGAAAATCGCTTGAACCTGGGAGGCGGAGGTTACAGTGAGCTGAGATCGCGCCACTGCACTCCAGCCTGGGCGAGAGAGATAGACTCCATCTCAAAAAATAAATAAAAAAAGTTAACAAATAATCAATTTTCTTCCCTCTACACCAGAGGTCAGCAAACTTATTCTGTTAAAGGCCAAACAGTAAATAGTTTAGGCCTCGTAAGCCATACGGTATTGGCTGCAACTATTGAGTTTTACTGTTGTATCATTAAAGCAGCCACTGAAAAGTGTAAACAAATGAGCATGACTGTGTTCCCGTAAAACTTTAAGGACATTGATATTTGAATGTCATATAATTTTCACATGTAACAACACTATTATTACTTGGATCTTTTCCCCAACTATATAAAAATATAAAATCCATTGCTAATGCATGGGTCTTGCAAAAACAGCCTGGAGTCGACCCATGGGCCGTGGTTTGCTGACCCCTATCATACACTGTGACTCCTCCTTGGAAGTACACCCCTCTAATGCCTTTGTTCCAAACAATACTGGGTTGGGAAAGACATGGAAAAAGGAACATGAGACACATTATTTTTTGTGCTCTATAGGTGACTGAGGGGTGGCTGCTACATAGCTCCCTCAATTTGTGCTGTAGCAACATGTAGTTAAGATCCTTATTCTAACACTGAATGTCTCTTTTGTGGCTTATCCTAACCTTAAAATTGTAAGTTCATTTAAGTAAGATTTTTTTTCTTTTTTTTTCTTTTTTTTTTTTTTTTTTTTTTTTTTGAGACGGAGTCTCGCTCTGTCGCCCAGGCTGGAGTGCAGTGGCCGGATCTCAGCTCACTGTAAGCTCCGCCTCCCGGGTTTACGCCATTCTCCTGCCTCAGCCTCCTGAGTAACTGGGACTACAGGCGCCCACCACCTCGCCCGGCTAGTTTTTTTGTACTTTTTTAGTAGAGGGGGTTTCACCATGTTAGGCAGGATCGTCTCGATCTCCTGACCTTGTGATCCGCCCGTCTCGGCCTCCCAAAGTGCTGGGATTACAGGCTTGAGCCACCGCGCCCGGCCCTTTTTTTTTTTTTTTTTTTTTTTTTTTTTTTAAAGACAGGGTCTCACTCTGTCACCCAGGCTGGGGTGCAGTGGTACAACCACGGCTCATTGCAGCCTCGACCTCCCAGCCTCGAGATCCTCCCACCCCAACCTCTCAAGTAGCTGGGACTACAAGTGTGCACCACTATGCCTAGCTCATCTCTTTTTCTTTTTTCTTTCTGTTTTTTGAGACGGAGTCTTGCTCTGTTGCCCAGGCTGGAGTGCAGTGGCCGGATCTCAGCTCACTGCAAGCTCCGCCTCCCGGGTTTACGCCATTCTCCTGCCTCAGCCTCCCGAGTAGCTGGGACTACAGGTGCCCGCCACCTCACCCGGCTAGTTTTTTTGTATTTTTTTTTTTTTTAGTAGAGATGGGGTTTCACCGTGTTAGCCAGGATGGTCTTGATCTCCTGACCTCGTGATCTGCCCATCTTGGCCTCCCAAAGTGCTGGGATTACAGGCTTGAGCCACGGCGCCCAGCCTTTTTTTTTTTTTTTTTTTAAAGATATGGGGGGTCTCGCTATGTTGCCCTGGCTGGTCTTGAACTCCTGGACTTAAGCAATCCGCCTGCCTCAGCCTCCCAGAGTGTTGGGATTACAGATGTGAGCCACTGTGCCCGGCCTGAATTATCTTGTTGTAAAATTTCCTTTAATGCTTAATAGTTGATGTTTAGTAAGTGCTAACTAAATATTCACTGATAAACATTAATCAGATGCTGCCAAATATTGTCTTTATTCACAGATGATAATCAATGGGCACAATATATAAGCAGTTACAATGAAATGAGAAGCAATATAGCAGTCGGGCTATATGCATGATTTAATGACAAAATTACCACTTTTAATTTAGTATAAGGGACAATTTAAAAAGCATTTCTTGGCCCTATCATTTCTGTTCCAGTAGTTAGTGTTTGTATGTGAATACTAAGTTTGACATTCCTTTCTCCCATAGAACCACTTTGGTGATCTGGATGGTGGCCACTACACTGCTTTCTGCAAGAATTCATTCACCCAGGCCTGGTATAGCTTTGATGACACACGAGTCAGTGAGATTCCAGATACTTCCGTTCAAAATGCTACAGCATATCTCCTGTTCTATAGCTGCCAGCCCTTTTCCATACCAATACAAAAGCATTAAGAGCCCGGAAAATGGTGTTTCCTGAACACTGCAAAACAAGCAATCAGCATCTGGTGGTAGAATTTTGCTTGGTCATTAAACTCGTAGAACTTACTTGCATTATTAACATTTTTATGCCTTGTGGGCATGTTATACAACCTTTTATCTTAAGATAAGTCTGTCAACCAGAAGATGGGTCCTGGGTCACTTAAAAAGGCAGTGTGAATATAATACAGTGCTAATGGATGGAGGCCTTCAAAACACTGCAGATTATATAGCGAGTTCAGGTTTCAAAATTTGGCGTTTATCAGAAAATATCTCTTAATTATATATATTCAACAAATTATTTCCCAAAGAGACTCATGAAGCTAAACAAAAATAATTTTTGTTCAAATGGCTCTGAGTTTAAGAATATGATTTGAATATATCTGATACAGTAATTTAGCCAAGAAGTAGTGTCTTACACTAACTAAAAACATGAAAAGTTGTCAGCTTCACAGTTTGAACCGATCCTTTCATCATCTCCTTGAGAGCCTGCTAATGGTGGTATCTTTCTGAAGCACTTTTAGAATCTTATTTTTGTATGGAGTGTTTTACTGACTACATAGGTAGCAACTGAGTCCCTCAGTTAAATAAGTTATAAGCTCCTTTAACCCTCTTAATACATCACTCTGTAAAGATGTCATTTACAATGCAGTTCACTTTGCAATCATGCCTGACTCCCAGTATTTTTTACTTTAATATTTAGAATGAATATTCTCAATATATGAGAATACTAGTCTTGAAAGTATGACTCTGGGTGTTATTATATAGCACGTGTGTATATAAAATCTATGGTTTTACTGTCCCATATTTGATAATACAATATTAAAGACAGAACACCCACAGGGTTGTAAATTATTTTTCTCATTAAGATTTTAATGTAGCTGTAAATGAAATTCTCATTTTAAAAAAATTAAAGTTTCCATTTTATTTTTTTAGAATAAAGATTTAGTGCACAAATACAGCCCAAAGCCAACAGAAAAATCGCTTTGCCCTGTCATTTCCCTAAGAAAGCACTGAAGTTACTCAAAATAGGCTGAAAGAAAAAAAGCAATCCTCTGAGTTCTAGGTTTCACAAAAGGACGTGTTAAACTATGTACATCGATTTGATGTGCAAGTATGCAATAAATATGTACACATACATTCCTATCTGCTTTACATCATTCTAGAGTATTCATAGTATATCAAGATGGGATTTAGAAATGTGAAAAGGCCATAACAGTGAAAAGGAAAAAAAAAGATACAATGGTTTTTAGACCAGTAGAATAATAATGCTTAGCTAGTTAATTATTTTAAATTTGGAGCAGACTAAAAAAGTTGTTTTGAAATAAATGGTACCTGTAAGTGATGCTTACTGCAATACTTGTTAAATGTTATTTGTCAGCACTGACCGGAATTATATAGTGCTAGTAACACAGCTCCCACTGTCCTAGAATTCCTCTAATCGGTCAGCTATAGCTACCATTATCTTGATAAGCATTTCAAGAGTTGTGTTGCTGAGCCTTTTAAAAGATAACTAGTTTATAACCTATGTCTCCTTATGTGGCTACATCAGTTACTCGTGGTCCCAGTGAAGTATAAAAGAGGATGTAAGCTGCTGACGATTTCACAGAAGAAACGGAGATATCAGAAACTTCATGATCATCAAACTTAAACCACCGTTGTCTTGCTGCATTTTTACAATAGGCTGTGTAGTGGCCTCCATCCAGTCCGCCGTAGTGATTCTGTGCCAAACAAGATAGAAAAATCAATTCAATTTCAATTGTTTAAAATATGCCAATAGTTTCAAAGCTTTATGTTATTCTTACTCTTCCTTGAGGCAGGAAACCACTTGAAACTTTTTTTTTTGAACTTGCTTTGAAACAAAATGTCTTCAGTTCAAAGAGATACTTACTGAAACAGAAAACAAATTATATTTCTTCAAATTGTTCTTTGGACCAATAACATACTGTGACAAGTCAAGGTTTTCTAACGGGAAGTCCACAGATGTCTGTAATTTTTGTTTCCACCTGCCATCGTAGGAAAAACTGCAGAACAAAACATTACAATTACACTGACAGAGGAAGATACCGGGATGAATCCTCATTCATTAACATCAAGGTTTTTAGCCAGCACTATAAAATCCATTTCAAATACAAAGACTTGGAATTTTAGTAGTAGAGGAACCTGTTAAAGACATTTGGTTTCATTTCCATTTTACAAACAAGAAAACTGAGGCACATGGATATTTAATGATGTGCCTAAGGTCAAACAGCAAGAATGGTTGAGGTAGGACTACACTCTGGTCCAGTTTCAACTGCTACATGAGTCTTCTATGAAGGTAAGACCCACATGTTTATAATGCTGATCACCACAAAAGAAAGAATGAGAGCTGCTCTTGAGTGAAGCTTGTACTTCAGAGGAAACCAGAGCCAGGAATTGACAGTAGGGAGACTACTGACTAAAATAATGCCATTCAATCCATTATTCTGGCATATTCTGCTCCTTTAAACATTAAAACAATGATATCTTAGTTGGTGTAATATGGTTATTTCAGAATTTTCTAACTTTTCAACATTAAAAATTTTAACAAATGTGTAATCACTTATAGCATGTTTATACTTCCACAATCCTCAAATAGGACAACGGAAAAAACTTTACACAAGAGAAATCTGAACATGTAAATGTTGAAATTAACATAAGGAACTAAGAATCTCAATACAAGATAACACATTTTTAACAAATGCTTTTTTTTGACAAAAATTACAGTTCTCAATAAAAAAGTGCAACTTCCTTTAAAAAGCTTTTCAAAAAATCAACTCAAAGTTCTTGAGTTACATGGATTATGTGAAGACCAAAGAATCAGCAAAAGATCTGGTTCGTGTTTTAGAACGCTTGTCATTATTCCTTCTATTATAGGACTAGATCTGTTCCATCAATTGGAAAAATCTGGACAAAATTATCTCTGCACTTAATGGTATCATTAACATATTTTATTGTTAAAATACTTTAAAATTATAAATTTCATTTAACACAGAACTAAGTCTGTTGTGCTTTAGTCTGCTGTTTGAATGTTACATTTCATGTGCTAATTTGCATTTGAATTATACGGTAACATTTTTATACATTTTCACTTGATGCTTTGTAATTTAAAATTATATCTGAAATGCAATATTTTATTTTATAGAAACTGAGTCATAAGGAATTACATGAAATGGTGGTACTGTCATTTTGCTCTGATACTGACAACACTGAGGTGAACTAACGGTCTCATTTCTGCTTTATTTTCCTAGATCTACTGTAACCAGATAATTGTCCTTTGTTATGTACCCATGGCAGGTAGTACAACAAGTATAAATTACACAGGACTTAAAATTCCTTCATTTAATTTCACTGAACAGGAAGAAAAACTTTCCCCTTTACCGTTTCAGATGCACTAAAAGTACAGGTGGTAACTTCCAGATTTCTATCTTTTTTAGAGAATCTCGTCGAGCTCTGCAATGACTGCAGTAAAATCTGTTGTTATCTGTGAGTTTTTCTTCTTTGGAAAATAATCTAAGGCAATCCTGGCAGAAAAAAACAAGTAGCAGATCAGATACCCGTTAATTCGTTTCTTCAATACTGTCAGAGAGCACCTATTTAGTCAGTCATTCTGCAGGCACCAGTGATTCAACACCAATCTACACAAAAGAGCTCCTGCCTTCCCAAAGCTTGTGATCTAGTGAGGAGCATAGACAAGTGAACAATGACAGCACAGAGCGTGGTGAGTGCTACCTACAGTGTGTTGTGATAGGACCCAGGAAAGCCCCTAACCTGGTCCATCAGGGAAAACCTGTTGGAAGAAATGACATTCTGGAGGTACTTTAAAACTAAAGGTATCAACAAGCTTTTAGATAAGAAACATTGTTGATACATGGAAAACAGGATATTTATTTGATATCCCCATGTAAAGCAAATGCTTACCAAAAGTATGCCTAAGTTAGTCAACAGACAACTCTCCAAATTAACTTTTAAAACTTTTTAAAAACATTAACAATCCTGAAAGAATATTTAATAAAGGCATCTTTAAAAAAGAAATTTCTAATTCTTTCTAATCTACATAGGCCTAATTATAAAACAGAATTTATGTTGAGTTTTGCCAATAACATTTTTTTTTTGTTTTAAGACAGAGTCTCGCTGTGTTGCCCAGGCTGGAGTGCAGTGGTGCGATCCTGGCTCACTGCAAGCTCCGCCTCCCGGGTTCATGCCATTCTCCTGCCTCAGCCTCCCAAGTAGCTGGGACTACAGGCGCCCACCACCACGCCCGACTAATTTTTTGTATTTTTAGTAGAGACGGGGTTTCACCATGTTAGCCAGGATGATCTTGATCTCCTGACCTCGTGATCCGCCTGCCTTGGCCTCCCAAAGTGCTGGGATTACAGGCGTGAGCAACTGCGCCTGGCCGAGTTTTACTGATAAAATGTTTATAAGGGTAAAGACCAGAAATAAATTGAATAATATACATCTCTATATCCATAAAAACAGCATTTTTATCCAATACATCATTTTCTCTCTATCTTAAACTTACCTGTAATGTACATTTACTTGTGGATGCTAGCGGCAGAGACAAATACATGAAGGCCTCAAATGTCCTAGACTTTTTGTGACAGGTGAGGCACTGTACTGTAGATTTGAATTGACCCTGAAAAAGTGCAACAATAATAGACTCATTGAGCTGCTTGTGTTTCTGCCAGGCATGTTCTGCAGCTTTAAAGTCATCAAGATGTTCATTATTTTCTTCTTTATATCTCTTCCGATTATCAGCCTGGAAATAAGATTATTTAAGCTCTATATTAATATCTCAAAGACAACATTTAAATAGAAATTGAAAGAATAAAAGTAAATACAAACACTTCGCAGATTTAGAAACACCTGTAGTTCTCATAAAGGAGTTCTGATCTTATTGAGTGTGGCAAAAAATAATTCTAGCCAAGAATACCGAAAAAACCCACTTTATCAGAAGAATGTGACTTGTTGAAATTTCCCAAATTTTTATTTAAAAAGCTGAAAAGGGCCAGATGTGGTGGTTCACGCCTATAATCCCAACATTCTGG